ACATTTACCCCCACCATTCCTAACATATATTACACCACTTGAGAGCATCCATAATAAGTATTTGTGACTATTATCATTGATAATACACAGGCCTTTATTGTTTAAATAAGTTATGTTCTGCTATTCCCAGAGTACACTCAAAATGCCAGTAAAAGTACTAGAAATTCTACCCACCAGAGACTCACTTTGAGGAGGTCAATAAGTGTTTGAAATGAGTACTTTGATGTAAAAGCTATCTATGTTTTTGTCTCTTGTTATTCATATAGGTACAGGGCTGTATTATTTTTATGAAGTAATTTCTGGAGACATAGAACCAGCAGTGCCTTATATATCTGGAAAGTTAAAAGAACCCGCAGTGTCCTCCAAAAAGTAGTAATTCTGCCCATCAAATCACATAGAGGCCAAGAAGTCTTTGAAATGAGTACTTTGATGTAACAGCTATCATCAAGTTTACTGTTGTTATTCCTGGAATGATAGTATCGTCAGTGATACCTGCCTAGGAACCAAAATCACTAGTATGAGGAGGGTCATAACTTTGTCAAAAATGGGAGTTGGATCATTATATTTAGCATTACATACCCCCCATGGCACCAATAGAAAGGGATTTTATCTTTCTTTTGAGACATCTCCTTTAGTCACAGAATAAGAGACTCCTCACTTGCTGTTGGGACAACAGCACCGCCAGTACTACTATTTGCTCAAAAACCAGGCGTATTGTGGGCACCATCATAACTTGCTCAAAATAGAGTGTTACATGACTCCATTTAGCATCACATCTTCCCCTTGGCACCAATACCAAGGCATGTATCCTTTGTTTGTACTACTAATTAATGATTTTTTGGGAATAATGCATCTATGTACTTTGCAAGAAATGATATCCTCCTAACAGTGCAAACAATGATACTCGTAATTGGCCAGGAACCAAAAACACTGTGAGCACTATAACTTTGTAAAAAATGGGAGTTAGATCATTATATTTAGCATCACATATCCCCATGGACACCAATAAAAAGGACTATAACTTGCTACAAACCCCATATTTGATATTTTGGACAAAAAACCACTCTAACACCAGCACATGTACTAATTTCAGCCCAGGAACCAAAATCACTATGAGGGCCATAACTCTGTCAAAAAAGGGAGTTAGATCATTATATTTAGCATCACATACCCCCCATGGCACCAATAGACAGGAATGTATTTTGCACGAAATAACGTGTACTGAAGAATTGTTTTAGTCGTAGTACTAGTAGTAGTAGTATTTAGATTGGATCTAAATTAGGATTGAAACGACTGAAATACTATTAACTTAATCTCCATAGCGTCAAGCTCTTTACGAATACCATGCAAGATGTTTGCTCTCTCACAACACATAATAATTCTATCGGCTTGCGCCTGACACAAGATACCAGGGGGCTTCTTAACCTCGTCCGAGTGTAGACAGGCGATAACATTGTCACGTGCGTCCTGATCAGGCGCGTACTTCTTTCGGTAGACCATCATGGCGCCGCACCAGTCCTTCAGAGTCTCCCGCTTGAGGGTAAGGGGCGCGGACCCTTCCCACCAAAGCTTGTTCCACTTCTTCCGCGGGCCATGCTCCAATACCATCTGCCACTTCCTGTCAATCTCCGTCTCAGGTAAGTCAAGGTCACTCATGGCATCAAAGAAGGCTTCTTCAACATAGAACAGTTCCTGGATGCCATATTCACCGGAGAACTTGACACAGTTAGCGGTGAGCTTCTTCTTGTCTTCCTGGATCATAGTGAGTGTTACCTTCTTCATCTTATCCACTTGGAAGGGGTTCTTCAAGGAGAGACAGGAGAAATGGCTTGGCTTCAT